AGGAGCAGCATCTTGTTGCGGGCCTTGGGTTCGCAGATGGTTGGTTAATAGTCAGGCACGTTCGGTGGATGTGGTGGACAGAAAGAGAAGTTGAATGAGTAACGCGTGACGTGACTGAATCAGTGGGCAAGCGCCAAACATGCCAGGACACATCACTTCGACTTGGCTTTAACCTCGACGAGCACTTCGTGCTTTCCTCTTCTCCTCAACACTTCACTCTACACACTCCAGGATTTGGTCAGATCAATTTGTGCAAGCTCAAGCTCAGTTCAAGTTGGACTGACATTTGATTCCAATGATGTTCCGGTGGCACTCTGGTTACTGGTATGCCACCCTGTTTGTGTTCATAAAACTCAAGTCGCAGTAGAGCTTAAGCTCTGTTGGAACTCAAGTCTATTGGCAGAGCTTAAGAGAGAACAGAACTTGAGTGGTTGGAGCACCAAACTTGAGTTCAATTGTTTTAGATATATATGTTTTATATGAACTGATCTCAAACCCAAAACTTGAGTTATATGGAACTTAAGATCCAGATGGGAACTTAAGATCGAGAGGACATTGGGAGATGTCAAGGTAATAATGGTATTTGGGCTACTTAAGCAGAACTTAAGACATTGTCTAAAACTTGAGTCGCAAAGTGGTCGAACCACCCACTACTTAAGAGGAGCTAATAAATTAGTTGCGGAAGACTGGGTACTTGTAAGAATCGAGTCGCTCTTGCACTGTGGTTTTCTCGAGTCACAATTCAGCAATTGCAAGGGAGTACTCAAGGTCCAAGAACCGGGCCTCAATATCTGCGATGCGAGCACGATCTGCTGCAAGCGCACTGAGCATGACGGACTATGTGTAAAACTGGATTCTGCGGTTAACCGATGCTTGGGAGAGACTCAGATTATGATACACGACTTTAAGGTTATTAACTCACCAATTTTGAATCGTAATATGGCGCGGTAGGCGGTTATGTCGCGCGTGCAGGTTTTGGCTTCTGAAAATCGAGAGGATCTGTGAAAGACAGATTTTTGCAAGAACTTGCCAGCGAGACGGAAGATTGATTGATTGCACTGCCACTGATGTACCTCCCCGAAAAAATTTCGAGGTCAAATTTGAACAGAAGAGTCAAGACTGGTTGTATTTCGTCCTCGATTCTCTGGTTACAAAATCTTCCTCTACTTCTACTTCCATCATTTCCACGCCTTCTCTGCCACCAAAAAACCATGATTGAGAGCATCATAAACGCTCTTCTCGCAAAAAATATACTCCTCCATCCCCAGAATTTCCTTCACCAGCAATGAATCAGTGGTCGACAGCGGCCCCGGCAGAAGCAGTACATCCTCAGCACTCGGTAGATGGTCCTTGAGCTCTACCCGAGCGAATGCCAAATGTTCGATTGCGGCCGTCTCGCTTCAAGTACGCACGCGGGGAAGCGCGTGGAGAAGGGGAAGGCGATGCACAGGGACAGTGGGTGGGCGAAGACGGGATGTATGTCAGGTAGCAAGGAATACGACAGTCTGGTCTGAACGCCGGAATGGAAGGACGAGGGTACACAGGCACGGGCACATGAGGGAGCCGAAAGCACGAGGGAGCAATAGAAAGAAAGAAGGCTCCAGACAAAGACGAAGTCAATAGACCTCATCGCCGTCCCAGCGCGCGCGCACCGCAGACGAACGAGTCGCAAGGGTCATCCCGCACGTCAGGGTGAGTATCCGTCCTGCCTCGCTTCGAGTACGGAACGAAAAGCGGTAGTTATGGTTAGCGAGCGGGAAAGTAAATGCGCAAACGAGGTCGGACTCGGGCGACACTCCGCACCGAGTCCAGTCCAGTTCAGTCCATGAAGCCCAAGGACCATGTCGTAGACTCGTACGAACAAGCACCCCGAGCACCGAATCGCCAATCCGCTCGCTTCTCGCTTCTGCCCGCCCACACGACTGGTATGAGCTAGGCATCCGAGCAACGAGCATCCCGGAACACAGCACAAAGACTGTTCGATCCCCCACTACACCCGCACCGACGCCTACTCGCTCGCCAGCACCGCAGGCGAGTAGCACGTGCCCGTTAGGAGTCCGTACCCGCCCAGCGAAGGCGGGGGAAACCACGGGGAAGCGTGCAGGAAAGGGGAAGCACGGGGATGGTGGACGGCGAGGACGAGATGTAGCATGGAATACGATACGATACGATGATCCGCTCTGAGCCCGGAATGGAGATGAAACACAGACTCGAAAGGATGGGACGAGGACGAGTCGTGGCAAGTCCAAGGCTCACGTCGTAAGATGGGAGGAGACAGAGTGCAATCCACGCGAGGACACTACACCCTCCACCCGCACCAACGCCGACTCCAACGCCTACTCACACTCGCTCACGCGCACCGGAGACGAGAAGCACCGCGCTATCGGGGCTTATACCCGCCAAGCGAAAGCGGAGGGTGCGGGGAGGAGCAACTCGGGAGGAATGCTCTAGTCTGCCAAATCCAATTTGAAGCAAGCAAGGGAAGAAGAAAAGCGAGGCCAGTTCAGAGTCCACGGATCCACGATAGCAATAACAATAGCTGTGGCACTCCTCCCCCCGCGTCGTGCTTTTCCTTGTGCAAGTTTATGGGGTGCATCGGCGGGTATGGGTATCGACGAGGGTAGAGACACTGGCAGGACAGGCAACCCGCCCAAGAACCCGCGCGCATGCCTCAGCCCACACTCTTGCTCCTGTTCTTGCTCAGCGTCGTCCATAGCAGTGTCGGTGGCGGGTAATCCAAAGTACCTCTTTCCTCTTCGGGCGACGCCCCGGGTGCTATTCCCTTTCATTGCATATGTGACGCCTCGTGCCCTCTCAATCACCGCTTCGCAACTTCTTGGCGATTCCATCGGGAAATTCACACCGGGGAATAGAAAAATGGTTTAAATGAATTTCCTCCGTGTGCGACGTGCGTTCCGTCGGTGTCGTTGGTGGTCCGTTCATTTTACTTATCCCGACTCCCGACTCTTCGAGAAACGGCACAGACAAATCTCAGTCTCACCTTCAACCATATCGCTAGTCCTCCGAGTCTAGATCTCCCATCCATCCGCCCCGTCCACTTTTAGCTTACATCCCAAATCGCTGGTGGGTCCTCTTCCAAAAATAAGTTATGTACAGACATTTTTTGTAGGACTCAAGCTTAAGTTTAAGTATACCAAAAGGCGGGAACTCTTTGATTATTTTAAAACTTATTCCCCTCCAAAAATTCTGGGTTATGAGTAACATTTAGAGAGAGTTAGAAAGGCTCGGTAGCTGAAAGTCTGCATCTGCTTTCCATTCGCTGATGCTATATAAGAGTAATGCAGACATAGCCTGTTCGACTCGGGCCCGAGCTATTCCTTTTCCGTCGTGGTTTTTTTTTAAATCTTGATATCCATTCCCCCACAAAATTCTACAATAAAGCATGGGTGCAGAGGGAGGGAATAAGGCTCGGTAGTGGAGGCTCTGCATCTGCTTTCCATTCGGCGTCCTTACTAGAGTAATGCAGACATGGCCTGTTCGACTCAGGCCCGAGCCATGAATGGTTTCACCACAATTCTTTTTCCTTTTGCCATTCCATAGAAATTTCTACAATAAAATAAGTGTGCAGAGGGAGGTGGATGAGGCTCGGCTGAGGGTCCGCATCTGCTTTGCATTGCTCGATTCAATCCCCAGTATGCAGACAATGCCTGTTCGACTCAGGCCCGAGCCATTTCTAGTTTGGTTGGCATTTTCTTCTTTTTGCCAGTCCCTCCAGAAATTCTCGGTTGTGAGGAACATTTAGAGAGAGGTAGGAAGGCTCGGTTCCGCATCTGCTTTCCATCATATTGTGTCCAGAGCATAATGCAGACACTGCCTGTTCGACTCAGGCCCGAGCCATTATATGTTATCACCTTCTGAACTTTTTTTGTCATTCCCTCAGGAAATTGTGACTTATGGGAGGTGCGAAGCAAGGGAGGAAAGGCTCGGTAGCGGATGGTCTGATCTGCTTTCCATAACACATTGTCACCAGAGTAATGCAGACATAGCCTGTTCGACTCAGGCCCGAGCCATTTGTCTGCTCTATTGCTTTTTTCTCTCCTGTCATTCCCCCGAATCCCCCCAGAAATGCAACAATAAAATGAGGGTGCAGAGCAAGGTGGATAAAGCTCGGTGGATGGTCCGCATCTGCTTTCCATTTAATATGCATATGTGTGAAAATGGGTAATGCAGATTTCGCCTGTTCGACTCACTGTGTTCAGACGGCCCGTAGGTAGAGGCCATCGCCCTGGGTGGCCCTGTGCCGAGGTGCCTAGACTGACCCTGCCGACACCATGTCGTCACAGGTCTGCCTCCCTTGGTCACCCTGTGCCTCGGTCACGGCAACAGACCCTGCCTCCCTCTGCCTCCCTAGCCCAACACCGTATCTTGGTAGACCCTCCCAGCATTTCCCATCCTCTAGTTCTCTGATCATGAGTCTAAGAGCCCCAACATAAGTAGTGTGTTATTTTCTTTAATACACCTGATTTCCTACCGTTATTTTTGATCACCGACGACCCTGGGCTTGCTGGTCAACACCCCGGTTCGCCGCAGGCCACATAATTTTGAATCACACCGTCATTTCTGTACAGAAGGGTGATGAGGCGTCATTTGCAACAGGCAGAGCCAAATTTTGGTTGAAATTGAAGTTGATTTTGCTCAGGTCGTTCGGCTCTGGCTCGGCTAACAGTGTTATGATCTTGAAATGATCGGCAAAGAAGCATCAGAGAACATTTCCACAACTCCCACAATCGTTATTGTGAGGTTCATATTTAGTCTGCGAACCATGGAGACGAGAATCTGATGCCGGGGGAGTTAGGCAGAGGGTAGGCACAGTCTGCCTACCCCAGATCTGCCGAGCTCTGCTGCCGGGGGTAGGCAGAGCCTCTGCCTACAGGCCGCCTGAACACAGTGGCCCGAGCCATGAGCACATTTGTTCCCGCTTTTTGCCAATCCCACAGAAAATCCTACAATAAACTGAGGGTGTAGAGGGAGGTAAGAAGGGCTCGGTAGCAAATAGTCTGCATCTGCTTTCCATTCTGATTGTTGAAGGGAATAATGTAGACAAAGCCTGTTCGACTCAGGCCTGAGCCATTTGCAGTGTCGCCTGCTCTTTTTTTTTCTCCTGCCATTAATTCCAGATAATTCCACAATATAAGTGGGTGCAGAGAGAGGTAGAAAGGCTTGGTAGCGGATGGTTTGCATCTGCTTTCCATTCACTTCCGGCACTGAAGCTAATAAATGCAGATATCGTGTCGACTCAGGGCCGAGCCATTTCTCAGCCAGATCCCCCCCCCCCCATTCATTCCTCCGGAAAATTCTACGATAATGCAGATAAAGCCTGTTCGACTCAGGTCCGAGCCATAAGTATGTTTTCAAGATTTTTTTTCCTCATCATCCCAATAAATTGCCTCGGTTAAGGAAGGTGCTAGCAGAAAGAATAAGGCTCGGTAGCGGATGGTCCGCACCTGCTTCCCATACGAAGTAGCTATAGAAGTATGCAGATACTGTATTGCCTATTCGACTCAGGCCCGAGCCATTCCCAATTGGCCGTTTCATCCTTTTTCCCCTTGTCATTTCTGAGAAAATTCCACAGTATAATGGTAATGGGGGTATAGAGGGAGATGGATATGGCTCGGTAGCGGATGGTCCGCATCTGCACTTTATTCGATGTGCGTGAATGGGTAATGTAGACATCACCTGTACATGTTCGACCCGAGCCATACCATTTGTCTGCATTTCCTTTTTTTTTTCATTCCCCCGCGAAAATTCCACAGTATAATGTGGGTGTAGAGGGAGGTGGACACGGCTCGGTGGAGGTTCCGCATCTGCCTTCTATCCATTGTGTTCAAGAGAATAATGCAGACAAAGCCTGTTCCACTCGTGCCCGAGCCATCGGTCTGCTGCCTTTATTTTTTAAATTTCCCCGTCATTCCGGAGATACAAAGCTTGGTAGAAAGGCTCGGTAGTGGAGGGTCTGCATCTGCCCTCAATGCTGTGGCGGACATGATGTTGATGCAGACATCGCCTGTTCGACTCACGCCTGAGCCATTCCATTCTTCATACATTTCTTTTTTCTCGCTGCAGAAATTCAACAATAAAACAAGAGTGCAGGGGCAGGAAGGAAGGCTCGGTAGCAGATGGTCTGCATCTGCTTTCCATTCAGTGTCCTTACTAGAGTAATGCAGACAAAGCCTGTTCGACTCAGGCCCGAGCCATAGCATAGGTCTGGCACCTTTGTTTATTTTTATTTTTTTGCCATTCGCTCTAGAAATTCCCACAATAAAATCAGGGTACAGAGGGTAGGAAGGCTCGGTAGTGGAGGATCCACATCTTCACTTTATTCGTTCATTGTTGCTGATGGAATAATGCATACAAAGCCTGGTCGACTCAGGTCCGAGCCATGTATGATTGTTCTTACTCTTTTTTCTTTTGGCCAGTCCCTCTAGAAATTCTAGCTTATGAGGAACATGGAAAGAGAGGTAGAAAGGCTCGGTAGCTGATGGTGCACATCTGCCTTCCCTTCGTGGTGTTCAAGAAAAATATGTAGACGATGCCTGTTCAACTCGGGCACGAGCCATAAAATATCTTCCTGCCTCCTTTTTGTTCCTCCGCCCTCCGGCTGGCCTGGACCTCTCAGGTTTGGAGAGGTTTAAAAGGACAGAGGAACGCTCGGTAGCGGAAAACCTACATCTGCCCTGCATTTGATGTGTGAAAAAGAATAATGCAGACAATGCTTGTTCGACTCAGGCCCGAGCCATGACTCATGCGCATTCTCTTTTTTTGCTCTTGTTTCTCTCCACGCAATACTTAGGTATAGAAGGTATGAAATGAGGGAGGAAGACTCGGTAGTGGATGGTCTGCATCTGCTTTCCATGCAAATAATGCCTGTTCGATTCGGGCCCGAGCCATCATTCGCTATTACTTCTTTTTTTTAATTCATTTTACCGTTCGCTCCAGAAATGCAACAATAAAATAAGGCTGCAGGGGGGAAGGGGTAAGGCTCGGTAGTGGATGGTCCACATCTGCTTTCCATGTCCCATGTCGGAGGATAATGCAGACATGGCCTGTTTGATTCAGGCCCAAGTCGTTCCACTTGTCTGGATTTCTTTTTTCAGTTTGCCCTTTGCTCCAGAAATTCTAAAATAAAATGAGGGTGCATGGGGAGGTAGGAAGGCTCGGTAGTGGATGGTTTGCATTTGCTTCCATTACATATTCATGTGCGAGAGAATAATGCAGACATAGCGTGTTCGACTCGGGCCCGAGCCATTCAAACTCCTGTTGAGTCTTTTTTCATTCTATTTCTCCTCCAGAAATCGTGAGTTGTTAAGGTGCGGAGTTGAGGGAATGAGGCTCGGTAGCGGGTGGTCTGCATCTGCTTTCCATTGTTTATTTCTTTGGCAGAGTCAATAATGCAGACAATGCCTGTTCGACTCAGGTCCGATCCATAGGTCTGCCGCCTTTCTTTTCTCTTTTTTTTGTCGTTCCCTTGGGAAATTGTGAGTTATGGAGGTGCAGAGCGAGTTGGAAAGGCTCGGTAGTGGAGGCTCCGCATCTGTGCTCAGTGATTTGTTTGGATCGTCGTTGATGCAGATACAGCCTGTTCAACTCAGACCCGAGCCATAGTTTTGCGGCATTGCTTTTGGTCTTTTTGCCATTCGCTCTAAAAATCCTGTGGAATAATGAAAGTATGGAGCAAGGGAGAAAGGGCTTGGTAGCAATCTGCAGTTTATTGGTATATCCCCAGATATAATGTAGATGATGCCTGTTCGACGCCATAATTCATGCGCATCCTCTTTTTTTGCCCTTGTTTCTCTCCATATATTTTTAGGTATAGAAGGTACGAAGTGAAGGAGAAAGGCTCGGTATGGACCTGTTCAACTCTGGCCCGAGCCATTTGTCAATTCGTGAGCTGGTTTTTTTTTCTGTCATTCCCCAAGAAATTCTACAATAAAACACGGGTGCAGCAGGAGGTAGGAAGTCTTGGTAGCGGATGGTCTGCATCTGCTTTCCATTTTTTGCGGAGTCAATAATGCAGACATCACCTGTTCGACTCAGGCCCGAGCCATAAGCGCGTTTGCTCCCGGTTTTCCTTTTGCCATTCCCCCAGAAAATTTTACATAATAAGGCTGCATAGGGAGGGAATAAGGCTCGGTATCTGCATCTGTGCTCAATAATTTGTTGTGATCATCGTTAATGCAAATACTGCCTGTTTGACTCAGGTCTGACTCGGAGCCATGGACCCTTGATGTGTCCTTCTTTCCCCCCCATTCCTCCTACTAAAATTGTGCGTTGTGAGGAACATTTGGATCTTTCAGGTGTTGTTTGGTGTTATGGTGCTGGAGAAGTTACCTGAAAAGGCGTGACTCGGAGGCTGTACATCGGCGCTTAACGTCTCTGGCGTCACTCCCCTCTAGCAATGAACAGCGAATCTGCGGAGAACCCTTCCACAGCCAGTCTTGAACTCACTTCGTGAGCTCTTCTTCGTTATGATGAATACGACGGATCGCGTCTCACAATCGTCTAATCAAGGCATATAGTAGCGCTAATTTCTCTGGGGCCCACCACTTCACTGTGGCTGGCGGAACCTTTAACAGCATCACTAAGAACTACATCGCCGCCGCTCCGGCTTTTCCGCCTGGTAAGTTCTTCAACACGTTTTGTGACGACGCTCAATACTACTGAATAGACTTCCGAATAATCCCTCTGGGAGATATCGACCTACAAAATGAAATATGCTTAGGGACTAACACGGGTATCGTAGATTGTGAACGCGTGAGGCCGCGTGTTCGGCGAGTATACTCTGCCACAATCGATGGCCGAAAGTCGGGCGTGACGGTTGCCATGTATCTCGGCGCCAGCGCAGAAGAGGTTTTCTTTTTGCCCTTTCGAAATCTATGTTCTAATATCATGGTCGCAGGAATGGCGCCAGGATATTGCGAATTATATGACGGTTCGGTAAGTTTCTTGGAAAGCTTGGTTGCTTGTTCCAATAAATTATACACCCAGCCATCCCAATATTATTCAGGTTCTTGCAGCAGCAGCGAGTTCGAACTACATGTATGCCACCGTTTTCCACGACGGTACGTCCTATCATCTTGGAGTAGGTTGAGTTTGATGGTTGAATCAGAACTGGTACCGTTCGACCATTTCCTGAACGTTCATCGCCATTCACCCATCTTGACCGTGTATATTCATGCCTACTGTGTAGGTCCATCCGTCACTGTCAAGTTGCTAAATAATGATTTATCTGAAGCAAACTGAGTTCAAAGTACAGAAGCTCAACCCTATCGACCAGCTCACTGATAATTGTCGCAGGCAACGCGGGATTATCTGTCTTGCACTTTTCAACGGTTCCTGGTAATATAGCCCATCTAGTTGCTCTTCTATCTCACAATATTTTCAGGTCGATCGTGAATGCACATTTTTCATACGTCGCTCGACGGGCCGACTCTGTGTCGACTTCGTACGCAGCAACAACAAGTACTACTGGTTTCCCACTCTGGAGGGAGTATCCCGTTCACGTGGAATCAAACCATTGAAAGCCTCGAACGAGGTGGCCATGGCCATTGATTCTCTAACACTGTACCAGTATCACAGAATATGTTATTGGAATCTACCACAAGATCGACACCTTCACTGTTCCACCTCCGCAACAGTGAATCTGAACACAATAATCGCCTGCCCATCCAGGGACCAACTCGAAGACTTGGTTGAGATTGCACGCTTGCCGGATGCAGAGGTTGATCTGAGTCGTTGCCAGTGGACCACTTCTGGAGAAACGACAGGAGAAGTCCTCGAGAATGGCTGGACCCGGTATCATTCGTGTTGACTGCGTGGCGATCTATTCTAATACGGGATATTCCAGGTTCACTTCCGATGATATAATAGACAGTACTTTGCAGTTATATGTGTGGAACTGGGCGCCCGAGTTCTGGATCAGTCAAGCGAACCACATTTTTAGCTGCCTCCAGGTCTCGTCCAATTTCGAGGATTACGGCACGTCTATACATTCTCGGTCCGATTTCCTCATTGACCCGTGCGAGCAGTTGTCCCAGACGACGTTTATTTTCGGCTAGTAATTTCAGTGACCT